AGTTATTCATTAATTTTCGTACAACTTCTATGGAAGGATCATTTTCAGTAGCTACTGAAAAGAGTATTTCGAAATTCGAATAATCTTGTAGAAACGTTGATAATAAGTTATCATATAAATTGCAATCTATGCCTTTAAGCGGCCTTATTATTGAAACACCAGGTGCTTTATCAACAGGTAATGACGAATATATTGACTTTTCAAGTTTACGATATCTTGTACGCCTATAATAAATTAAAATTATATTTTAAGATATATTTATTTAATATATATATAAATGGAAATAGATTGTTGATAACATACGCTACAATAAAACCCAAAGTTGACATAGAAATCATTATGAACCATAAAGTAAACGATAATATCATGAGAATTAATTGTGTCCTTGATAATGACTCCCATACTGAAATATGATAACTTATTATAATCTGTTGACTGTCTATATATGTTTGCATAATAAATTTATGAAAAGCTTCAGTTGGTATTGGACGAAGAAAATAATCAGTATTCATCTATATTACTATTATTATTGTTATTGTTATTATTACTGCCACTACTACTAATACTATTATTATGATTATTATATTATTATTAGTTTTAAATATTTTATGGTTAAAAAATATTAATTAATAACAGCTAATCAATCTACCAAAAATATTGTAAAGATTAGATTTATAAAAAGTCTTCTAATTTTTTTGTTTGTTTCTCTTTCTTATAACAATGTCTCTAATGTTGTTGTTGCGGTAGTAGCGATGGGAATTTGTTGTATAAAAATTGTTCTTGTTGCTGATTTAGCTTTTGAAAGAAAAAAAAGAACCAAAAAAAAAATTTACAAAATTATTTACAAAAAAATTTTAATAATATATATGTATATATATATATCGAGGAATTGAAAATTCTTTGAACTGTAAAGAGTAATTTCACGAGATTAACATACTAAAATAAAGCAAGACGAACAAAATATTATTTGTTATAAAAACAAAATAAAAAAAAATTAAAATTATATTTATATAATTTTTTTGTGAAATGAGTGATCAGTTGTACAAGTTCCAGAAAAAAAAATTTGTCAACAGGGCCGAGAAGAAACAATTAAAAGATCAATATTAATATTAATATTAAAAAATATTTTCGATAATCTTTTAATGGATATATGGCGTTTGTTTTATATGAAAAAACGACATTGTTTTTTATATTTCGAACATCCTTTTTTTGGGCTTTTTATTACGTAATTTTGTAATACAACATAAAGTTTCAAGTTACACGATATTTATTAATTATAAATGATCATGTTCATATTTAGAATTGCATTCAGGATGAATTAATCGAAAACTCAGATTTAAGAATTTGTAAATAGATACCTATCTATGATCTCCAATTTGATCACCTGACTTTAAATTAAAACATTTATATGGAGCATGCTGCAACAAAACCAGACAAAGTGAACATTAGTATTACCAATGATTTCAGGGATCAAAATTAAATACCACCTTTTTTTTGGAGACATATGGCAGAAGTGATGAATATTGATCAACAAAAAATACAGCTAAAAGATAACAGAAATAATATTTTATTTGACATTTTTTTTATTTTTTTTGGTAGGGGTGTAAAAAAAAAATTCATTGTATTTAGAAAAAATATTTTTAGCAATTTATTTTTTTATTAACAAATATATCAACCACTAATAATTATAAATCACATTACTATACTAATAATAATACTATGCGTTTACATTGAATATTAAGATCATATATCACCACAAATACGATGTGCGAGTTGCATATCTTTTGGTTGTATTGTGATTCGTTTACCTGGAAATTTTTTTTTGTAATCAAATAAATGATTTTTACCTTAATGAATTTTTATGAAACAGAAATTAAGTTTCTCACCATGAATAGCAGCTAGATTTGTGTCTTCAAATAAAGAAACCAAATAGGACTCGGAAGCCTATTTCAAAAATTATTTAATACACTAATTTAAAAAAAAGTTTTTTGATTTTAACCTCTTAGTTAAGAGAAGAAAATGCATACTTCTTGTAGAGCACTAATTGCAATAGATTGGAAATGAATATCCAGTCTAATACTTTGAGCTATTTCCTTTACAAGTCGTTGAAAAGGTAACATGCGAATTAATCTATTGGTGGTTTTTTGGTAATGTCTTATTTCACGTAAGGCCACTGTTCCTGGCTTATACCGATATGATCTTCTAGTTCTATTTCTAGTTATTTCATTATTAATTAAAAGAAATATAAGTTTTTAAGAGAATGGGCCTTGACTTATTATTATGATCTTGAAATAGCACAAACCTGATTGATTGTTATTTGTTTCTTCCGCCTTTCAAGAGAGTAAAATGCAAAAATGTGAGTCAATAATATATGAAAAATTTTGCTATTTTTCTATTACCTCGATAGAAATATTGTCATGGATTATATCATCACCACCAGCAATTCCATTAACTTCATCAACATTATCAATTACTTCTCTATTAATTTCTGGTTCTTGTAATTGATTTGATTTTAGCATTATTTACAATTTTTGTAAATATATTGACTAATTACATCTTTGTTTGATTAGGTTATTTACCATCTTCCAGATTATTATCATTGCTGTTACTAACGCCAACATTATTGTTATCTTCAAACCAAGAGGAAATTTCAAGTATGGAACTGTCAAGGTTATTAATGATCCTTTTGTCGATTGCAGCTATATTAAATTCATTAACATTTTGAAGGTACGCGATATTTTCAACGGTATTATCTCTGATTTTTATTAAGTTGTTCTAGATGGAAAATTGATTATATTAGCTTTAAATTTCATTAAAAACGAAATAAAATCTGTTTTATTCATTTGAAAAAATGTAAATATTTATAGAAGTTACAGAAGTGGATGATGCTTGTTTTTTTACATTTCTAAAAAGTATGAAATAGATCATTATTAATACTTGATAACTAGAGTGACGACGAGTGGCGGGCGATAACCACCACCACCATCCTTAAAACACTTACCCAAAGTATTCATCGCGATTATGGTCTTTGCTTCTTTTTCCAGTGGTGAAAGACATTTTGTTTATTTTTTTTAAAAAAATTTGTTGATCGACGCGTACACAATAATTATTTATCCATTGGTTTTTTTTTTCTGGTAGGACAGACGCGAATTGATTGATTGGTTTTTTTTTTTTTGGAAAAACAAAAAACAATTTATTTTTTGACAGAGCCCAAGGTGACAAAACGTGAGTGTTGTTGTTTGGTTTGGTTTTGGGTCTCCTAAAGAAGAAGTGTTAATAACTAACCAGAGGTACTTTTTTTTACTTGTATTTATGTTTTTTATTTTGGTTTATAAACATTTTAATTGGAAATCAAAACGCGGAGCAGATCATTGTTGGGTAATTACAAGATTTTCATTGATAATATTTTGCTTTTCGTAATCAATATTAATATTAATAATATTATTATATTATAATCACAAGAAGGTGTCAAGGCAGCACACCATTTAAAAAGAAACATTTCAAATATGCAACATTTGATTATCGGAAATTGGCAGGTGTTGAAGCACGCATGCTACCTTGAACACATTACAGTCATTCACTCGTTCCTTGAGTACATAAGGCTAATCTGACTAGCTTGCCCTGAGATATAACGATGCAACCGAATTCCAGGGGGGTACGTGGCTCTGGAGTTTACCAAGATTGCATCAACTGTCAATGACACTTTCACTAATCTTCCCAGACCAGAGAAGGCTGCTGGCACGCTAGCCGAAAAGTTGCCTGCAATGATCCCGCCTCTAGGGTAAGGGTGGCACTGTGACCAAGCTATCGCAACTCTGGAGGAATATTAAGAGAACCTGCAGCTCGTTTCAACCACAGTATGCAATTCAGAGCAGGGTTTGTGGTCCTGAAATTGCATTTGGACACTGATGTTAAGAGGGAAGTTGTAAAATAGTGTTTGTTTTGTATAATCACTTTCATAAATGCTCTGTTTCTCTGATGCTAACCAATTTATGATTTTGGGTAGGGGATTGAAATGGGTTTTTGCCCAATCAGTCCTCTGTCCTATAGATTAAAATTATTGCATGATTATATATATCTTTGTTAGCAATATGGCCAACAAGGAAAAAGTTATAAAATGGTTCAGATTTTGTTTGGTATGTTATAAATTAATCATTTTCTGTTTCTTTAATTTTTGTTTGACCACTGAACTTGTTATTTAAATCAACTTTATTTTAGTGAGAGAGATATAACACAAAGCAAACATCACACAAATGCTGATATTCATGCCCATATGGTGACAGCCAAGCCTGGTCTGAGGGGAAGGGAAATGTTTTGTCCAAAGCCTTCCAACTTGTGGGGGACCTCACCTGTGGAAAAAATCCATAGTTATGAGGCGTGTGAAAGCACATAACCACATGTTTGTGATGGGAAAATTTTTAATTAAATCTGACACCTGTGATCAACATCAAATTTATTATTCATAAGGAACCACAATTGATAATCAGGAAAAATAATTTATTATTGTGAATCCCAGAGATCTGGGTAGACATGCATTATTAAAAGTTTTGTTTATGCATGGCCTTGGTATCATTACTACCTGGGTGATGCAATTGTTTATTATGTCAATGATGATATCAAATGTATTGAATAATAATCATGACCATTGTGAATATTTGTTGGATGGAGGCATTCACATACAAGGAAATGGTTAAATAGCTAAGTCATGTTTATTTTGTTAAAGACATATGATTAAT